GCCCTCTGAGCTTGCGCATCGCTTTCTTATGAAGGGAATTCTTGGGGATGGGTTCCAGGGTCGGGACCGTGAAATTGCCTACTTCAGCCACCGTAGTCCTGATCCAGGAAGACTTCCACCAGGGCCAGTACAGGCGAGCGGGAATGAAGTTATCTTCATCCAGGGAAACCGTCAAATACTCCATCTCATACTGGACAGCATCAATGCTGGAGCAAGACATCAACACCCGAAATTTGATAGCCTTCGAAAAACAATCGATGTCCAAGCATTCTAAAGAGGCCCCCAACGCTCGCATGCCCGTCAGCATCTCCCTCGAGAAGGCATGGCGGGGACCAGCAGTAATCACATGTAAAGCCTCATTATACGCTTTCCGAAGAGCCGTGGTCACTGGACAGAGTTGCAACTGGTACGCCAAAATCGACATGCAGTGCGAGTGGAAAAGGCGAATGGTCTGTGGAAGCCCTAGCCCAAGCCCGCGAAGCCTCCGAACCGCCATCCAGAACATGGGGATGGTGTTGCTCCATACTTTGTCCAGAGCCCCAGGCCCGAGCCAGAATCCCAAGTATAACACAGCGCGAACAAACCCAATGCGGTGGTACTCACTCCCCTTGGCTCGAAGGTGGGCAACTAATCTATCAGGATCAAGCGAGCCAATCACCAATACCTCATTGGGAATGTTCAGCCCAAGTCCCACAGCATGTTCCAACTTACGAAGGAGCGAGAGCGTCGGCTGGAGGTCAGCCAGGATGTTGGGAAGGCAGAAGGAGAGATCATCAGCGTAGTCTCTAATCCGGAGGACATGGTCAGCGAGCTTGGCCCCCATCCAACGCAATACCGGGTCTAGCGCATAAGCGAAGAGAAGCATCGAAGCAGGATAACCTTGCCGCACCCCACGCTCCACCGAAAAAGCAGTACCAGTAGTCCCAGGGAAGTCGATTACAGCCACATTGTCACGGTGCACCTCACGATAAAAACCACAAGCTTCACTAGGAACACCCATAGCCTCCAAGACCGCCAAGATCCAGGAGACGATCAGAGAGGGGAACGCAGCCTTAAAGCCCGTGAAAAGAATGCCCGAGCGATCCCCACCAGTAAGCATCTGACGAAGACCCCACCATTCAATCTCAACCACGTTGTCAAGGAGCCCACGTCGCGCGACCCCCCCACGCTGGATCGGGTCGATCACTGACGGAGCAGCCCGCTGGAGGCCAATGGAGAAAGCGCCACTCAGGAGCTTCGCATCGGTACTCGCTAGCGTGAGTGGGCGAGTCTTATCAAGCGACCGAACAAGGACAGCGGGGTTCTCGTCGTCCTTGAGGTCTTTGGGCAGAAAACACATCCTTCCTCGACGCACGCACGCCGAAACAGTACCCCCAGACGCCTGATACATCTCATCATAAACAGCAAATAAAACATCAGCGGCCCCCTCAGCTTTCCAGCACCCATACGGAATGCCATCCTCCCCAGGGGCAGAGTGATGCTTAAATCGGGCTCGCTCAATAAACCCGTCAACGTCCAACATCCAATGCAATGGGCCCCACTGGATCGGGTGGGCATGGGCGAGGATTTCAGGCCATAAGGCCCGATCAGGTTCGTTGGCTGCAAAAACCGCCTGCCAATGGTCCCGAAGGGCCTCAGCAGAGGCCGTCGGAGAGGGGCACGCCTGCCCAGAACTGTCCAGGATCCCAGTGAGCCCATAGCGCCGACGCATCTTTGACCAGGCTCGACGAAGGTGTTGCAAGCGGGCCATGGCCTTAGCCTAAGACTTCTCGTCATCCTCCCACCCGTCCATCGCCCGTTCCTCCGACTCATGCCAAGCACCCTTCAGAGACTGCACCAAAGCACCCAGGTCGGCTATATCCAAGCATCTCTCACGGTCTGGATCAAAGCACTGAAGCAACCGAGGATACGCACGGATCGCACGCACACACTGGTCGAAGCTGCTCATACGCCACCCACGGAAAGCCATCATAGCGAAGTGGAGCTTCTCACAATTCTCTTTCGGGGGCTTCATCCGAAGCCGAGCCTTGAACAGAGGGGCCATTTGCCAGAAAATCGCCTTCACCCGAGCCAATTTCTCCCGAGGGGTCAGATCCTGGCCGATTTCTATAATAGCGCTGGCACACATGGTAAACACAATGTCGGGACATCCACTTAGGAATCTGGGTGGGTAACGTTGATGGCATTCTCAGAGCGACAGTGGCCACGACAGGGATATGGTCGGGCGAGGCGAAGGTCTTCACGGCATGCCCCATGGCATTTACCGTCACCGCCAAATCATTCAAGACGGGGGCCGAGAGAGAAGTGTAGATGCGGTCCAGACGGGCAACCCCGCGGACTTCTCCCTGGAACACATCGCGCCGTGTCGGATCTGGTTGGAAAAGCTCAGCCCAAGACCCACAAATAGACTGAAAGGCATCAGTGTGCCCCCTTATCCCCTGCTAGCCACGTGCCGTCAGTCCGAAACCGCCCCTCCTCCACCTCCATAAAGTTCCAATCCCCAGCAATCAAGCACATAGTGTGCGCAGCCAATGGAAGGAACGCCTGAATCGCACACAGGTGCCTGCGATACATCGCAACTGGATCCGAAGTGTTCGGCACGTGATCATTGACAATCACTAGACCCCCACGACGCCCCTTCAGGTGCGAGGCGAGAACACGGCCAGCAATCAACGGAAACGGAGTGATCGATTCGAACTGCGAAGCCAGCTTACTCGGTATAACTGTAACCACACCGCCCCCAGCACTCGGATCGATCATCGAATGGTGAACAAGTGCACTGCGACAACGGTCATCACGCTGTAACATCTCCACATCAGACACTGTGCCATGAGTCTCCTGTAAACACACAGCATCGAACCTGCCAACAAGACCATACATCTGCTTATACCGCCGAGCTGCCAGTGGAGACGAAGTAGAGTACGATGAGAAGAGAGCACGTATATTCCAAGAGCACAAGGTAAGCGCAGAAGAGGGAGCAACCACCCCGTTCGCTCCAGAGGACGGGTCACCAGGGGTAAACGGTCCGCCTGAATTCAGATTAAAACACTGGTTGGCTGACTGAGCACTGCCCTGGCTAGTCGGCACACGGGCCCGATGGTTTCCCCCGACAGGCCCCGCGTCCCAGGGAGGGCCCGAACCACCAGGGACCCGACAAAAATTGCCAGGCAGCGCACAAGGAGTCCCGAGGCAGGGTGCTCCAGGACAACTGGGGGCCTCACACAAAGGGCCGAATCTGATCAAAAAGGGTTGCAATGCAGCCAGCGTGCTCACCTACTCCGAACGTTCCGAGGGCCTCAGGAATCAGAACGGGTTCAGGGCGACCACACTCAAGGACCGTGACCTTCGCAAGAATCACTGGGTGCACTGCCGTAATGAGACCGTATATCTGACCGCCGAGACCGTTGCTGCCCACCTTTCTCCCCCAAGACCTTCCCGATGATCGCACGAGTCTGTCCCAAGTAGTAAAACAATTTACGGCTAGCGGGGGGCAAGTCACGACGCGCGCGGAGCTCCCAGCCAAGGTTATCAATCGGGTTCTGGTACACAGTCTTACCAATGGTCTGGCTCTTACCGAAGAACGCCGCGCACGACAAAGTACTGGGGAAGTCAAAAATCACCTTCCGCGTGAGGGAGTGCGCGCGCACGATCGGTTCTTCGCCCGCTGGACTACACGCAGCAACAATAGGGGCCACCGCTTCCTTGAGAGACGCTTCCAGTAGGGGCCTCTCAAAACCGAGAACACTCAGACGAGTAACACTGGCTTGGTCTGGTCCCGCCGTCCTCATCATCTTCCGACGCCCTCCATCCCCATCACCTCCCACGAACTCGAACTCCGAATCGGCACGAGTCGACGAACCAGCCGAGAGCTTCTGCTGTAATTCATGCATCTGCACATCGATCTTCGCCACTACTGCAGCCAACTTCGCATCTGTGTCTACCGAGACCTGGTGAATCGCTGCATCCTGGGATTTCTTGATCTCTGCCCAACGAACCTCCGAGCGACGATTCATCTCTGCGAACTCATCCTGCATTCGATCAAAGTTGGTCACCATCACTGTCATCTGCTGGCGAAACAACTCAAACTCTGCTGTGTGCGTGGTAAACCCTTCTTTCACGATCGCCGTCAACGCGCTGAGCTGCACGGGCACCTCCGACTGTACCTCGGGCGCGGGCGGCGGCGCAGCCCCTCCCTCCGCCCCCGCAGGGGCAGGAGAAGGAGTCGGTCCATGCAAGCCCTTCATGGAGCCTGCCGCACGAGCAGCCTCAGCCATGGCTAGAGGGCGTGAAAAGAAGGGCGGGCGGCCGACGGCCGAGGCGCGCACGGCCCGAGGGAGAGGGAACAGGAAGACCCGAGGAGCGGGTCGGGGGGAGCCAGGCCGAGCGGGTCGCGCAGACCACCCTGAGCCGATACGGCTTGAGCCAAAATGGCTTGAGCCAAAATGGCTACGGACGAGGACGAGGAGGAGGAGGAGCAGGAGGAGGCAGAAGTAGGACCAGGAGCAGTAGGAGGAGGAGGAGGAGGAGGAGGAGGAGGAGGAAAGAGGAAGAGGAGGAGGAGGAGGAAAACGAGGAAGAGAAGGAGGAGGAAGAGGAGGAGGAGGAGGGAGCGTGTGCCCCGGGTGGCGGCGAGCGCCTGCCGGCGCGGTGTCGGGCGGCCCTGCTCCTGGGCGACTTGTGCCCTGCGCTGTCCGCCGGGCGGCGCAGCGGCTCGCGCAACTGCCGAAGGTGCCCGACCGAGCGGGCACCGCGACTGGGCGCCTGCGAAGGCGCCTCGCGCCCGCTGTCCGCACGTCGTGGGGGTACGAAGAATAGCATAACACATAGACATAAAAACTCGGAGGTCCGCTCGGATTTCTCTGATCGGCGCTGGAGCCCCCTCGCCAGGGGCGGCGCCGGAGGCCCCGCCAGGGGGCCCAGCGCGGATCCGAGAAATCCGCGCGGAGTTATTAGGTTAATCTAATTCTTCGTTCCCCTACGTCGGAAGCCCGGTCAACCCTTCAGGCCGCCAGCAGGTTCGGCCGCGGGCGGTCGCGCCTCTTCGCGTACGCCTCGCCGCCCTTTTCCTTGGAGGCCTTGTACTCCTCGTAGGGCAGCCACGGCCTCCTGAAGAAGCCCCGCTTGTGGAGCGTCTCGAAGTGCTTGGTCCTCACCTCCTGCTCTGGCGTCGGACTCTTCCTGGTGAGCCCGACTGCCGCCAGCTCCAGCTCCCGCTCGTCCATGTGCGTCTGCAGCAGCTCCTTCTCGCGCTTCGCCTCGGCGACCTTGGCGGTCTTGTTCAGCGACACAAACCTCGCGACCAATAAGTGCACCTGCGTGACGTGGCGCCCCACCTTGGCCAGGCGGTCCGTGAGCTGTGGCGTCGGGAACACCTTCGACGAGAGCATCTCCTCGAGAACCGCGCAGGTGCGCTTGGCGGAGCGGGTCTCAAGCGCCACCTCGAGGGCCAGATGGTACAGGTCGTTGGGGACTTCGGGCTTGCCCGGGAGGCGTTCCCACAGGGCGAAGAAGCGACCAGTGTCCTGCAGATCGCGGCCGAGCATCTCCAGCAGGTGGCGGTACGTGGCTGCGTCTGGCGAGGCTCCGAACAGGGGGTACTGCTGGAGCATCTCCACGGCGTGCTGCGAGAAGCCCCCTGCGACGTACACGCCCATGACCTCGTTGAGCAGCTGTGTCCAGTCCAGAGCGTCACCACAGCAGCGGCGTGCCTCCGCGACGGCGTGCCAGGTGCAGCGCAGATTCTGAAGCCTCTCCATCTCGGTCACCTTCGGTCTCCGCATAGCAGTGGCGAAGAGGCCGACAATGTGACTGAACATGGGTGGCTGCATCAGCACTCCACACTGCCGCATCTCCAGGATCAAGCCCTGTGCCCTCTTGGCGTCGCCAAGTACTCTACATGCTTGAAGGAGTTTCTCAAATATAAAAGGACTCAATGGCATGTCCTCCGCTTGCATCTGCCTGAAAAAATCGAATGCCTTGCGGGCATGATATGCCGACGTCGCCATCGCGTGAATCAGCTCCCCATAGGTAATGTCCGTGGGATACAAACCACAAGTGCGCAAGTCGTCGAGCAGATTGAGAGCTCGCTCGGCCTCCTGAGCCTGGGCGCATGCTTTGATCATCACTGTGAAGAGCACCTCATCTGGCTGAATGAGCTTCCAAGTTCGGATCGAGTGAAATTCCTCCCATGCCTTACTGAGGTCCCCACGTGCCACCAACCCATCGATGACAACTGTGTGCACCACTAAATCGGGCATCACTCGCTCATCTTCCATTTTTCTTACCAGCGACATGGCGGAGGCCACGTCGCCAGCAACCGTGTGCGCCTTTATCAGGGCGGAGTAGACCTTGAGCGTCGGGGCAATGAGCTGCTCCCGCATCTTGAGGAAGAGCCTCCTTGCCAACACGGGGTCGCGCAACTGGACGGCACCAAGCAGTAGTGAGACGAACGTGCCGTCGTCGGGCTCGTAGCCGTGCGTTTTCATGGCGTCGTGGGTCCGGAGCGCCTCGTCCATGCGGCCCTGCAGCGCCTGGGCGCGCACCAGCTCGTTGAGGTTTGCCACGGAGGCCTTCCCCTGCGTCACCAGCGACTCGAAGTCGAGCGTGCACGCCTGCATCTCCCTGATAGGCGGCGACATACGAACCCTGCGCCCACCCACCATCGACATCTCCAGAATCGCTGGGCGGCGGGGGCAGGGATTGGGATCTCGCCGCGTGCTCGACGAATTCCGGACCCTGCCCCCGCCGCCTGTCGAGTTGCCTGAACCTCCTCCTCCTCCCTCCTCCTCCTCCTCCTCCTCCTCCTCCTCCTCTCCTCCTCCCTCCTCCTCCCTCTCCTCCTCCTCCTCCTCCCTCCTCCTCCTCCTCCCTCCTCCTCCTCCTCCTCCTCCTCCTCCTCCTCCTCCTCCTCCTCCTCCTCCTCCTCCAACTCCTCCTCCTCCTCCTCCGAACCGTGGGTCGGCGAGGATGGGGCCCGCACTCCGCCGCCGACCTGAGGCGCGCGGCGCGCTCGGTCCCCGGCTGGTGCCGCAGGGCCTCCTCCAGGCTCTCCTTCAGGTCCGGGTGCACGCCTGTCCTCATGGGGTGCAGATCGGGGATGGACAGACCTCCCTTTAGTAAAACGTGGTTTAGTGAAAACGACCTGAGGCCCAAACCTGGCGGGCGCAAGCCTGGAAAATAACGGCCACGGCGCCCTCTCGAAAACCGAAAACGGACAATTCACTAATCGACGTGTCACTGTTGGGGGTTCTGTCCACCCCCGAGCAGATACTCCAGATCTCGTAATAAAGGGAGGGGGGCCTCATTTCGGGGGGGGTCTCTTCCAGGCTATCTTGGAGGGCCTGGGGGGGTCTGCGGACGATGCTTTGGAGGGTTCTCCCACGGGGGGGGTCTAAAACTTCTCGTCTGGGAGGGTTGAGACCCCCTCCCTTTTATTACGAAATCTGGAGTACACAGACTAGCACTGTGCGCCCTCCTCGGAGGCGCCCAGCCGAAACGAACACGCAGTGCAACCAGACTGTAGTACATATACCGTTTCCCGAGCGGAATCACCCGACAGCGCCTGCCACAGGATTCACCCCGAGCTACATGATTTCTCGGCGCGTGCGTCGCCCCCGGGAGGGGGGGCGACGCATGTACCAAGCACGGAGGAAATGGGTCCTGAGGGACACGTGTCTTGGACCCCGGTTCCTCGTCCCAGAGTTTCATCTGGAGCTTGTTTCTGATAGTCGTCCCGGGGCCCGTGGAGAGCCAGGGAAATCCGAAAAGAAGAAAAAACCCAAGACCCGTTTCTCTCGGACCCGTTTCCCCATGGCAAATGTATGACGGCCAGACCCAGGACAGCCTGACATCCATCAAACACATGATATTCTCCGCTGGCCAATCTGAGAAAAAACATTCGAAGGTACCATCCCCCAGGATGCACCAGAACACCCGGCAACCACGGAGCACCTTGGGACACCCTCCCCGAACCGACCTCGAGCTGATACCGCTGTCCGGCCGTAGTCCAGTCGGGGCGCTGACCTAAGGAGCCCTAAATAAGGAACGAGGCCCCTTTTCTTCCATAAGTTCCCCTTCGACTTCCTCTCGAAAGCATAAGGACAGCCTGCGGCAAGGTGTGAAACACTTGAGGGACGCGGAGCCCCTCCCCAACGAAAAGGGTTCCTTCTTCAGGGCCCCGACTGCAGGGTTGGCGGCCCGCCGTGGGCCGCTGGTCCCCCCGCGGTGTGCCTTGGGGGGTCGGCCCGACGGCGGCAGGGCGGCGCTGGGCGCGCGCTCCTCCTCCTCCTCCTCCTCCTCCTCCTCCTCCTCCTCCTCCTCCTCCTCCTCCTCCTCCTCTTCCTCCGGCCGTAGTCTGTTGAGGTGGCGCCCGTCCTCTCGAAGTCCGCGGCGCGCTCCCGCAGCGCCGCTATCAGGCTCTCCCCCGGCAGGCCCCGCCTGGCCGCGGCCTGCCCGGCCGCGGCCGGCTCTGCGCCCGCACCGCCCGCGTCGTCCCGAGCAGCCTGGGAGGGGAGGAGGGGGGGGAGGAGAGGGAGGAGGAGGAGGAGGAGGAGGAGGAGGAGGAGGAGGAAGGAAGAGGAGGAGGAGGGGGGAGGAGGAAGAGGAGGAGGAGGAAGAGGAGGAGGAGGAGGAGGAGGGAGGGGGAGGGGAGGGAGTAGAAGGAGGAGGAGGAGGGGGAGGAGGAAGAGGAGGAGGAGGAGGAGGAAGAGGAGAAGGAGGAAGATGACGCTGGTGCGGCGTCTCGAAGTGCTGGGGCCACTCGCGTGGCCCACGGCCTAGGTCGGCCGCGGCGTGCTCGACGGCAGCGGAGATCTTATGCTGGCTGTCGGCGCTCCCCAGCTCCTCCAGCTCCTGGGCCAGATCTTCTGCCCCCTCGACTTCACGCCAAAAGGCCAACATCACCAGTTGGATGTGGCCGGCGAAGTCGCTGCTGGTCTCTTCTGAGGCTGATGGCGATCCACCTCCGGTGGTGCTGGCGGTGTCGTCGGGGACGTTAATGACACAACCGTCGAGCGTTCCGTCCAGGTCCTGTCCGGCGTCGGTCACCATGAACGGCTCATCATACAATGTAAAACGCTCGCCGATGAGCTGGTGGGTGTCGAACGAGGCGCCGTTGAGGTGGATCTGCTGGGCGTCGGTAGGGTTCCAAGAGGGCCGCCACATGGCCAGGCTGCGGGTGAATCCGGCCAGTTGCCCACAGATTTCTGTCAGCGTATGAGTCGTACAGCGCGAAATGTCAGGCAGTTGAAAGCATCTGCGGGACAAATGGCGCAGCGCTTCGAGGTCGTCTGGGCGTTGTCGTGCCTGCTCGGTGAGCTGCGCGCCCTTGGGTGGCCAAATGGCCGAAGGTCCTGGCCCCGGAACCTGGTCTCATGTGCTCCCCATAGTCCTCTGCGCGGTCCAAAGCCAGGCCTGCCCGTGCCATGCCGATGCCCATCTCGTCTTAAGAGCCTGTAGCAGCTTCAAGGATTATCACGGTTAACGTCTCAGGATAGTGTTGTTGGCACGATGTCGGAGTATCAGGGCGCAAGAGTCACTTTGTTTCGCAGTGTTGAAATCGCAGGAATGGTGTCCTGGCGCGACTGGGGATCGTCAAGACGCAGTAGTGACGGTAATTCGCGACGTTGAAGACCCAGGAATGTCGTTCTGGCACTACTCCGAATTTTAACACGGTTGTCTTCAAACAGGGCATTTCCTTCAGTGAAAATGAATACGTGTAGAAGCCGATGGAGAAGGAACTTGGAGGGAGGGGTGATTGCAAAATCGTTGACGCGCCTTGGGTTTGCACTGGTCCTATTCCTCCTGCTTCTCCTCCTCCTCATCCTCCTCCTGTTACTTTCCTACTCCTCCCCCTCCCCCTCCTCCTCCTCGTCCTCGTCTCCGCCTGTACCAAGCCTCCTCTGAGTGACCCGAAGGCCATTGTCCTTCGGAAGCACCGTTGTTTAGCGCTCGCTTGCTCTGATAATGCGTTGCTGATCGTGTGCGCGAGATGTCAAGCATACACCAGCCACGACCACCCTCGGTATCTGTCTGGGAAGTGTCATGGTGTTCCGCAGTCCAATGGACCCAGAAGCGCCTAGTCTTCCACTTGCTAAGGGGAACATCCGAAAAGAACAGAGGTAATCGTTGAGCGTGCCCCCTGGTCTGTCATTTGATGTTTTTACTATTCTGTGCTTGCTCGTGTCACCCAGTGGAGGTTCGAGAGCCTCTCTTGCTGCGAGGTCCTCTGTAATTTTCTGGCGGGCCCCCAAGCTCCCTCGGTACAGGAGGGTGGCCTGGGCTACTCCGTGCGTTCATTGGCGGTTGATGTTAAAGATCCTCCTCCTCCTCCTCCTCCTCCTCCTCCTCCTCCTCCTCTCTCCTCCTCCCTCTCCTCCTCCCTCTCCTCCTCCCTCTCCTCCTCCCTTCCTCCTCCTCTCCCTCCTCCTGCTCCTCCTCCTCCCTCCTCTCTCTCCTCCTCCTCCTCCTCCTCCCCTCCTCCTCTCCTCCTCCTCTCCCTCCTCCCTCCTCCCTCCTCCTCCCTCCCTCCCTCCCTCCCTCCCCCTCCTCCCTCCCTCCTCCCTCCCTCCCTCCCTCCCTCCCCCCTCCCTCCCTCCCTCCCTCCCTCCCTCCTCCCTCCCCATCCCTCCCTCCTCCCTCCCTCCCTCCTCCCTCCCTCCCTCCCTCCCTCCCTCCCTCCCTCCCTCCCTCCCTCCCCCCTCCCTCCCTCCCTCCCTCCCTCCTCCTCCTCTCCCCATCCTCCTCCTCCTCTCCTCCTCCTCCTCCTCCTCCTCCTCCTCCTCCTCCTCCTCCTTCCTCCCTCCTCCTCCTCCTCCTCCTCCTCCTCCTCCTCCTCCTCCCGCGCCGTCCCGAGCGGCCTGCTGGGGCGGCGGCGCGGTGCTGGAGGAGGCGGCCTCGCTGGCCTCGCGGCCTGCGCCGTCCGAGGCCTCCTGCCGGGGAGACGCGCCAAGACCCGGGAATCGGGGGCCTCGGGGCTGGCCACAAAGCACCTCGCACACTCTGCAGAAGGAACTGCCATGCGTCACGAGTCTCTGCGGCGACGAGCGCTCGATCGAGTTTCGATCCGTGCCTCGCTCTCTCCGAGAGGGCAACCGAGGGCCGAACTTTCATGGGATCGGCCAGGGGCGACGGCGGGGCCGCCAGGGAGACGACGAGACCCGGCCCGCCATCCGAGTGAGCAGGGACCGACCGTCCCAGCATTCCTATAGGCCTACCACGAAAGGTTCTTAGAACCCCAACGTTGTTTGATAACAGACATCAGCGCTCTTAGAACATAAGCCCGATGTGCTAAAACAAGACAGTCCCAGCCAGAAAAGTTCTAAGAGCATCTCGTGCAAACCACACAAGGTCCCTAGAACATTCTTTGGTAGGCCTATAGGCGAGCCAGGACGCTTCGCCACTGCTTGAATCCGACGCAAGCTCCCGCTGCAAGCATCCCGCGGGAAATGTACCACCAAGCTTCGGGACTGGCCCGTCAAAATTGGCGACGCGCAGAGGGGGGGCATGGGGGGGGAAGGCTTGTTACAAAAAGCAGCTGCTTCTCAGAAGGCGCCGGCCTCACGTCGCCCTCGCCTTCTAGGAAGCCCCCTCTGCCCCCCTCTGCGCGTGGCTCACACAAAGCGGCGGCGAACCCGAACACTGCTGACCTCGAGCCCCACGCTCTCCCCACAAAAATCCTCCAGCAGGGCCGCGGCGCGGCGGCCCGGCGCGAGCGCCTCCGACTTCCACCTCTTGGAGGCCCTGGTGATGTCCACGATGCCCTGCAGCTGCTCGGCCACCCCCGACGCGTCCAGCGGCCCCGCCGCCCCCGGCCGCTCGCGGGCGCCCTCGGGGCCGTCCTCATCCAGGTCCCTCCACGCCGCGGGCTTCTTGTTCCTCGCCTGTCGACTGCACGCAGGAGGGACCCTAGGCCAGAGGTGACCTGCGGTGTGCGGCTTCCGGGGGGGGGGGCGCGGTGAGGGCCAACCCCAGGCGCGCGAGCCGCTGCCATCGCATCGCGTTCAGCAATCGGGGTGCCCCGGTGGGCCCGCACCAAAAGGTCACTCCAGCGAGGGCTCAATCACTCTTACGCGCAGCCGAGCCTTCGCGGGCAACCGCCAGAACGGCGTGTCGGGCGCTATGTAGTCCGGGGAGGACTGCAGCGCCTGCCGCCTCTCCAGCACGTCGTCGATGAGGCGTCTGGACTCGACCATCACGGACGGGGCGTCGTGCGTGAGGTCCTCCGCTGACATCAGCGGGCCAAACCTGACGAAAAACTGCGGCGTCCGCGGAAGCGAGGCGACCGGCCGGCGCACAAGCCGCCTCACCTGCGGCTCCCGCATCCTCAGCGCCTGCGGCTCCTCCGCGCCGAAGGCGGAGGCCACCGCCGGGTGTGTGGACGCATCCGCGCCGGTCGCCGCATCGGCCGCGCTGCGGGCGGCCTGCCTCAGGTCCTCGAGGTCGGTCCCGTGGCGGCGCTGCTTGCCAGGGCTGCGGGCGCCGAAGCGCTTCCGGCGCGGCGACACCTCCGGTCGCGCCGGAAAGGCGCCGCCGGTGCTGCGTGGGTTGCGTCGCGGCTGTCTCTCGCGGCCCCGCGTGGACCGCGGCTGCGCGGCGACGAAGAGGCCGTCGGCGCCGGCGCTGGCGGCCAACGCGCGCCTGGGGAGAACCGGGCGCGGTGCCGCGCGCCACATGGCCGTTATCCCGCGGCACGCGGCCAGGCGGAAGGACTCTCAGCGGGCGGTTGGCGGCCCGTCGGCCAATGATGCGGCTGGCGCGAGCCACTGCGGCGGGCTACCAGGCCATGCTTTGCCCCCAACCTTGGGCCAGGCTGCTTGCCCTCGGCCAGTGCAGCACCGCCTGCTCACGCGCGTTCCCTCCCCCGTGGGGGACCTCCGCTCATAGTCGACCGCAGGTCTCTTCATGACTAGCTTTTGAAACGCGCCTTACCTTTGGACGCCCGAAATGGGTACGGAAAGAGTTGGAACAATGCACAACAGCAAATGCTGCCCCAAACCAACAGCGGCCGCTGTTGGGCAGACGGCCTTCTGTCTCAAATGTACACAGGCCGCGGCGACACCGACAGCGAGTCCTGTTCAGAATGAACGGGAACTGCTGTTGGGCATTGTGCCCATCCTTTCCGTATCCATTTCGGTCGTCCTGACTGCAGGATCGACAATCGACATCCCCTTGGAATTCCCAACACACATTATCAAATTCACGTCCCGTAGCCTGTCTACGGCATCGCACACGACATGTATTCTCTATTACACACGTAAATACATGTGTTAGCCCGCGTGGGCCCCAACCACTGTATGTCTAGCAACAAATGCAGTGCAACCTACGTTGCGCAATCTATCTGGTGCAATATATGTTGCACCATGTACGTGGCACAATCCATGTGGTGCAGTCTAGGTGGTGGGACCTGCTTGGTGCAGTCAAGTATCTGCCATCTACGTGATGTACTCCATGTTGAGCAATCTACGTGGTACAGTATATGTGGTCTCATCGACCTGTTGCAATGTATGTTGTGCTTGATGTGTCTTGAAACTTGTCTGGCGCAACCCACGTTGTGCCATCTATGCGGCGCAATCGCTGTTGTGCAGCGTACGTGATGCTAACTATGTGGTGCACTGTATGTTGTGCACTCGACGTTGTGCAAACAATGCGGTGCCATCTGCGCGCCGCAATATGGTTTGTCAGACCTGTGACATGCAATCTACGTGGTGCAATCTATCTTGTGCAATTAATTTCCGTCCGCGGTGAACTGTCCACTCCACACCTCGCGCAATCATCCCACCCACCCACCCGCAACTTGGTTTGAAAAACCCATGCGGCGGCGATTGCGACGAGTGCTTGCAGATGGCTGATGTAACTCTGCAAGCGCGTTAGCCCGTGCATGCTCGCGCGCGCAGCGGCCAGATAGTTGGCGCTAGCGACGTGGCCGCGGTGGCGCTGACCGCTGGGCACTTCCCAGCTGGCACTTCAGTGCGAGTCGGCGCCTTGGGCTGGGGGCCTTACGGCAATGTCCACAAGGGTAGACGCGATGATGATGGTAACAATGAAGGTGACGATGATGACAACTACGACGGCAAGGCCAGTGACGGCGCCGATGCTGATCACGCCGACGACGATGACGGCGCCGTCACGTCGGTGATGAAGGTTTTGGAGGGAGTTCGACATGCGCGCGCGGGGCGCACAAGGGCGCTCCAATGATTTCGACGCGCGGCGCGAGGGGCCCGTTCGGCAGAATATCATGAACATGCGGGAAAAACCCGATGGTTTTCTTAAGAATTCGCAAGTGCGCGAACGCAGGCATGATGTTGCAAAACCGTGTGCGACTCCGGCATTCGCGGGCGACAACGCGCGCGTGTACACCTCGTTACGTTTTGTTGCAAGGGATTCTTGCGACAACACGCGCGGAAAGCCGTTCGAGCGATTCCGACACGCGCGCGCAGGAGGTCCGTTGGGTGGCAAGTTCTGAAAATGTTGAACAATCTACGGTTTCCTTGAAAATTTGCAGAATGCCCGAACGCAAGCATGTTTGGAACATCATTGTCGCGAATCCATATGATTTCTAAATTTCTTCGGGACACTAGGATTTCCTTGAGACATTTGAGGTTTTTGAAAAATTTCGGCGCACGCGCGAGACGACGCGCGCGTGTACTGCGTCCTGACACCTCATGACGCTTGATAACAGAGTTTGAGCTTTATAAAACGGGCGCTTGACAACTTATGATTTTTTATAAACGAGTGCAAGCGCATAGTTTTGTTGGTAAGGATGACCCGGGCGGACACCAGCCTGCCTGGGATGATCTGAATTCATATCTGGGGTTGACGGTGAGGCAAAATCATTTTCATATCGCAAAACGAAAATAGGAGTCCTTCTAATCCCGGGGGGGGGGGTAGATCCTAACACTCCTTAAACATGGGGAATGTACATGGTGAGATCATATATGTTGTGCGGTCTTGTGGCCCAGACGACGGGCGGCGACGACGCGGCGACGGGGCGGCGACGGCGACATAGCCGCCGGAGTGGCACGCCTGCCAAGACAACGGGCGGCGACGACGCGGCGACGGGGCGGCGACGGCGACGACATAGCGGCAAGACCAACACGCAGGCCCAGCGCCTCAGAAGAGTAATAAGAGCCCCAAAGTGCAAGCACTGCAAGGGGAATATACACGACAAATCGCATTGCACCACATACATGGCGACCTCTGGTTTGCAACTCGCCATGTAGCCTGCACCACATCTAGCAAGCAGGCGTTGATAGGCACATCGAACCCCCAAAGACGCCTCCAGAAACACCCAAGAGGCGCCTGAGGAAACACCTAGCAGCCAAGCACAACGCAACGAATAGGGAAGGGCATGATAATTGATTGCTAATCTTTCCTGCCGAAACATAGCCTCGGGAAGGAAGCCTTAAGAGAGCCTTACGAAAACCCCAAGACGGCCCCAGACCGCCCCAAGAGAGACCTGAGATCCGACTGGAGGCTCTCAGGATGGCCCTGCCCCAAGCCCACCCCCCCCGAACAAAAAGGTCCCAATAGCCCCTCCTTGCACAAGAAGGCCCAAAGAGACCCCAACAGAGGCGCAAAAGAAACACAGAAGAAACATTCACCAAAGGCAATACGGTCATGTACGTTCGCGCTCTGGGGCCGCCTGAATGTGCGACGCGCCCCTGCGGGTGACTCAGACGAGCCAACAGCCACCTCAACCACCATGCCACATGAGGTCCACGCCCCGCTCCAGCATCATGGGCGCGGCGTCCCAAGACGTGCCCCAGTATGGCCCAACCAAGCCCTTTCAGAAAGCTCAACACCACTGTTCCGAATGCGCTACGAGGCTGCGCCTGCACGGTGGCGAGCTTTGCCGCACGCAGCTGGCCATCTTGCGCTGCCACCCGAACCGCGCTCGGACTGGACATTATTCACCGCACGCTGCCCGCAAGCAACCGCACGCCCCGTCGGCTCCGCACGTCCAGGCTTGTCCGTGCGGCCGCTTGCTCGCGTGCGTCTCTCGCGGGGCGGGCAGCTCGGGCGAGCCGCACCACAGTGCGCCCCTCCCCCCCCCGCGAAGCTGCTGTTAGCTGACTGCGAGGCGCGGTCACAGCGAGCACGGAGTGCAGAGCTACCTCTGCGCTCCTCACCGCCCCCCTCCTCACTCGAACGACTGACAAAAAAGCGGGTGCCACGGGAGATGGCATAGCGACCTTACGCTGTGGCTTATGCGGGCCGCCAACGCGGCAAGCCGAGTCGGAAGCGAGGGCGCTCACGAGCGACATTACGCGAGAAGCTCACGCGACAGCGTCCGTACAGACGACCCCGTTTTTTCTACGTCCCTCGCTTGGCGCTGCACGAGAGGAAAGGGAGCACGCCTGGAGCATCCCCCCCTCGCCAGCGGCGTCCATGAAGGCCAGCCGCTGCGCCATCCCCGAAGCGGCCCGCCGCTCCAGCGCCGCGCCGAGGGGTGGGCAGCGGGAGAGGCGGGTGTGGCTAGAAGTGCCCCTGGCCCAGGGTTCCCCCCGAGGATTTCCTAGGGCTCCCAACTTCGCGCTACGCGCTGCGCGAAGCGCGAAGCGCGAATAACTTCGCGCTCTCGCGCCGCCCTCCCAAAGGGAGAATAGGAGGACGAGGAGGAGGGGGAGAAGGAACGAGGACCGCGAAGCGCGAAGCGCGAATAACTTCGCGCCCTCGAGGGAGCCCTTGATTTCCAAGGAGGCCCCCACGAGGCCCAGAGGGCCCAAGGGGCTCGAAGATTCAGCGAAAAGCTGGGGAGTCCGTGGACCAGGATCACCTTTGTGGAGCAACCCCCGAAGGAGGGAGGGGGAGCAGCCAGGCCGCGAGCCGAAGAGGAAGAGGAGGCTCAGGAGGAGGAGGAGGACGCCGTCAACGGCAGGCGAGGAGGGGCAAGAGGAGGGCCAAGGAGGAGAACTGAGCATTTCCTTAGGGTGGAGGGCTCAGGGTGAAATCCATATGGGCTTTCGCACCTCGAAACTCAATCCGTCTTGTGATTCACCTTTTGCAGATTCAAACCTCGAACATCAATCGAAACGGCATTTCAGATTTCACCCTTGACCCTCCACCCAACAAAAAGTGCCCGGGAGAAGGAGACGCAAGTTCGCGGGACTCAGAAGCGAGGCGTACAGGATGCCGCCATCCCCAGACCTCTGCCGCCGCAAGAACAAGAGTCACTCCAAAGCTAAGCCCGCACACATCCTGCTCGACCGGGGGGAAGAGAGGGAGGAGTGTCACTCCTCCCTCCGTCCTCCTCTTCCTCCTCACTGAGGAAGAAGAGGAAGACGGAGGAGAAGGACGAGGAGGCGAAACACATGAGGGAGGAGGAAGAGGCGAGGCGAGGCGCGAGTCAACGTCCCAGAGGGACGGTCATACAAACGCTCGGCGGGGGCGCCCGAGCGCCTGAAGGCTCACGCGCTGTCGCCAGCGGAGGAGGGCAGGGAGCACAAGCAGGAGGAGCATGAGGGTGGTGAGCACTGAGAGCTAGCGAAGAGGAGTGAGGAGCAGTCGGAGGGAGCGACGACGAGTCACGACTCGGAGCGTGAACACGAGGGTGGAAGTGCACCGACTACACTAGGAACGACGACGATGAGAAGCGCATATACGTGTGTGACTGAGGTAGGAAGGAGGAGGACGACTCCCGGAAATATACATACGCATCACATGGGGGCTCTGCAGATGAGGACGGGCGAAGATGAGGATGCACATGCGTGGAGCTAACACGCATCGTATTCGCAAGGATGTCTTGAACACGGGACGTACTGCGTTTCAAAACGGGCGTATCGAGGCAACTAAGATGCGGAATGGTGGAACTC